TCTCTCTCTCCTCATAGAGGATGGCTGCTAGTGTGGAATTTTAAAATACAGCAAACAGAATACAGATTTGGAAAGGCTCTATGTTTGGAGTTCACTTATCCACAAAACCTCCACTCATTTCTGAAAATTAAAAGTTGCTGGAAACTCTGGTTGATGTGTCAGAGCCGTCCCTGGAAACGGTCAGAATAGCCTTCACTGACCCTTCTTCCATTTTTCTTCCTCCTCTGGTGAGAAAGTACTCCATGAGCGCTGTGAGTAGCTTTGGTGGGATAGGGATTAGGGGAAAGGGGTGAAAGTGATTATAGGAATAGTTTCCCAAACAAAGGAACTCCAGAAAAATGGGTTGGGAGGCTTTGAATTTGGATATCAGACTCTGAGACACAGTAACCTCCAGGAGACCACTCATGGGGGGAGATCTCTCTCCCTCCTCAGGACTGAGAGGCTTGTTTCCCTAGCCCTCTGAAGCCTGTGGACCTCTCCTATCGTCTCTCTTTGTCTTTCTTCCCTCAGCTCCCTCCAAGCGAAACAGGAAAGAAGGAGGGATAAAGTGGACATGGTGGGGCTGGGGCCTGGCCGAGGGACGGAGCTCTGTGCAGAAACAGACCAGCACCTTCTTCCCTTCCTTAGCTGTATCCAAGCTAAAAATGTTATTCATTCTCTCCCCAAGGAACAGTAATAGAAAAACAATCAAGAAATTCCAAAATAGAAAAAAAAAAAAAAAAAGGTTGGGGGCTGCAGGGGGATGAAGAAGATGGGCGCACAACAGCCCGAGGACCCCTCCCAGCGGAGGTGTGACTTTCCCTCCCAGGCAGTACTCAAGAGCCAGCATAATGTCCAGTCTTAGAGAGGTCAAGGGGCTTCCGAGGTCATTTTGTGGTTCTAATACTGAGCTAATCGCCTAGAAAACGTGGCCTCTCCATGAACTCTCTCTCCTGCCAGCCTTCTACCTCCAAACTCTCAGTGAGCCCCAGGGAAAAAAGGCCAGCACATTCAGATCTGAGGCAGAGTCCCCTGGCTCACTTACCCTCAAGAGCAGGGCCACGGGGTGGGAGGAGGTCAGAGCCCCTAAATTGAGACAGCAAAAGGAAACCAAACTGTACATTGAGCCTCCAGGAAGAAGGGAGGAGGGCAGAGTCAAAGAGAAAGATTCCTGTGTTAAGAAACCTTGCCTGTGAATGGAACAGTTTCTTGCTCTAGAGAATTGTGAATATTTGTCTAGAATCACAAGCTAGACAGAAAAAGAAAAAAACGAAAGACATCTACCTATACCCTGCTCCAAATCCAAGGCATTCCATCCAAGAACTTCATTCCATTTTTCTAGGAGGCATCTCACCCGTAAACAGACATATGGGACACAAGCCCCCAGTATAGACAAACGGCGTCAGGAAACACACTGGCCACATGTGCATGTCTATACACACACACATGCTGGGGCTCTCAAGGCCCACCTGCATTTTCTACAACCGGCAAAGCACTTCGGAGCTGCCTCACAAACAACCCTCTCTGGGGTTCTTCAGGGGCCCTGACACCTCAGTCCCCAGCAGGTCAAACATTCTCCAGGTGTCCAGGCCTCTCTCTCTCCCTCTGACCCAAGCATCAGTCATCATAAAAGGCAGCAAACCTGACCAAGTTTCCACCATAAAAACCCCGCAAAGATAGTTGAAAAAGAAAAAGGAGGCGAGAGAATGTTTCTTCTTTCCCTTGCATAAGAGCTCATAAAACGATTTAAAAAAAAAAAAAAATGCCAGCCCAGGCGGGGACTTTGTTACCTTTGCGCCTCTCGCCTCCTCTTGCCCGAACTCCTTGCATCCCATTCATGATGAAGGGCTTCTTCCAAACTGAGAGGAAAAAAGTTTTCAACTTTATGGTTCCAAATTTTTTCCCCCTCGCAGATCTGGGAGAGACGGCTAACACTTTTTTCCCCCAACAGCCGGTCTGCGGAGATTTGCTGTTGAATAATAACAAAGGAGAGAGGATACGTATTTAAAGAAAAGAAGTGATTAATGGTTTTCTGTATAATTCTCACATTTTTCTTAGCTCTTGTCTACACAGAATGGCTGTGAACTTTAAGCTCCATAGAAATCTTGTTTTATTCTATTCATACCTTCCAAGGAGAAGCTTTGATTTAGTTCTATAG